TGTGCTTCATTTTTAGAAAATGTTAAATAACTCAAAAACCTTACATTTTAGTTATATACTTCTCTAATAAAACTAACCTTTATTTTTCTCCCAGAATCCGAAAATCAATTAATATATAGAGTGCTCCATTACAAAAAACATAACTTTAATGTGCAACTTTTTTGGGGGACACCCTGTAGAACTCCTCTATATTTTAAAAAGTGCTCTATATTAACCTACATATGCTCACAAAATTTCACTTCAATACAAACTCTCGTTCTCCTTGGAGCCTCCGCGTCGTATGAGAGGCGCCGCCCTGTATGTTCATCATACTTTATAAAGCATTTTTCAAATTATTTAAAGCAGACGATTTTATAACTAGTGCGACATTTTTCAAAAAGCCTTCAAAATCTCTGGAAACTAACTAGATACTTACATTCTGAAGTTTAAGTAGCCATGAATATTTAACGAAGGGGTTAAGTGAATTGCTCCACCAACGCAAGTGTGTAGCTGGTTTAAGAGAGACCACTCAAAATGAGAGAAGCAAAAAATTACAGAAATTTTCTTCCTGCTAGTTTTCGTAGTCAAATATATTCTACAAGTAATCTTTTTTAAATTAAAAACGTAAAGTAAAGGTTAGTTTTATGTATAACGAGATTTAAAATGGAGAATTTTTATTTTAAAACGTGTTTCTTAAGTTTTCTTTAGTAAGAAAACGTGCAGGTACGCCTGAGAGAAAATGAATATTATGTGAAAATTAAAATTACTTTTTATGTATATTTCTATATTTACGTTTCTATTAAAATTTGGTTTATTTACGAGGGTTGAAAATTATACTTTGCATATACCGGGTGCGTCTCAAAAGTGGCTCAACCCTATAACTTTTTTGAGTTATAAAGTTTGCTCATTTTCACAAAGTGGTGGCAACAAACAAAAAGCTTAATGTTAAAATCAAGAACAAAGTCCCAACCATATCAGCACTGTCAATTTTTTTTATACAAGGTGGTCCAAATTGTTTTCCGGAAACTTCGGCAGCATATTATGCAAATAAAAATAAGTAAAAAAGTTCATATAAATGTATGTTCTAAAATGCTTAGTTTCGGAGATACAGGGTGTAGAAGTTTCATTTTTATTTCGATTTTTTATAAATAATTTCTTCAGTAGGGTCAATATTTGGATGAAAATGGGTGTCTAGGAGTTTTTTGACATGAGAAATTCGATTTTGATGTCAATATGATTCCTACTTCTAGAGGGCGCCACCTACATATATTTTAACTGGTTTGAAGAGTAATAACTTTTCGTCCGCACCTGTATAAAACCACTGGTTGAAAAAGTATACATTTACGACGTTTTTTACGTAGAAAGGATTTCTTGGTAAAAATCGCGACGAGCAACCGTTCTCGAGATATTTAGAATGAAAATAGTCAATACATGTCATTATTGACAAAAAATAAACATCTTGTGTAGATAGTTATTTAACTGAAATGAAAAATTTGGGAACTTTTTATTTTTTTAAATTAATCATAATTTTTTTTTCGAAAAAATTATGATAAAATAGTTTCTGGTGAACTTCTGGTACAAAAACATTTCAAACTGATGATTTCAGTTTAATAAATATTTAGTCAACATGTTTAATTTATGTCAGTGATGTCAGGTATTGATAATTTAGATTCCAAATATCTCGATTTATTTTTATTACTGGTAGCAATTTTTACTAAGAGATCTTTTTTACAGAAAAAACGTCGTAAATGTATATTTTTTTACTAATTAGTTTTATACAGGTACTAACGAAAAGGTATTAGTCTTCAAATCAGTTAAAACATAATATGTATGCATATAATATGTACGTGGCGCCTTCTACAAATAAGAGTCATATTGACATTTTTTGACAAATTTCTCATGTCAAAAAACTCATAGACAGCCATTTTCATCCAAATATTGACGTTACAGAGGGGGAACTTGTCAAAATATCAACAAAAACATCTCTCTACAATTAATGGATGCCCCCTAATGACGTTATGCTCATTTTTCTTTTTATTTCTCCAATATTTTTTTATAGTCGAATAAAGAGTAAAACTCTACTTCGGAGGCACTAAAAAGCAATATCTGGTTTACAATGCGAGATATTCTCAAGTCATTTAGGGCGGAGACCTAGGTCGAGCGCCAGAAATAGTTTGTCAACATCTGTCAGATCGCGAGTCTTCGAAATTAAAAATAGATTAAGGTTAGAGGTGAATATGCCGTTGTTGGAGTTGTTGGAAGCGTTGAGATCGCAATGAAATGCTGTAGTTTTTAGTTTTTAGTCACTCTAGATGTCGACGAGAAGTTTCTGAATTTTATTATTGTAGTAGTTGTATGGTATACAATTTGACAATAGACATTGTCATGGCAACTAAATTTTTGAAATGAGACTATAATAATAATAAAATTATTAATTTTTAAATAGCTCTACTTAAAAAAAACCCGGAAGGTTTAGGTATAGGAACCTGGTATATCATTGAAAATCTATTTTATTACTTTTGATTTTTTAAATAATATACATAGGGTTGAATTTAAAATAACAAAGTTTTTAAAGCAATTTTACTACAAACGACAATAAAAATGATTTTGGCTCTCTCTATGTAATATCCAGTGAGTTGATTCAGACAAATCGGATATATGAACTTTCGTTGACTTAGAACCAAAATTTCACTTTTTAAAATGTTCAATTAATGATTGTACAAGGATTTGGTCAATTTTACTCATCTTTTATAAATATCTCCTATAAATCAAATTTCAGAGAGATATGAAATATTGAATTGATATGAGATATGAAAGTAGTTTCCAAAAATGTAATAATATACCTGGTGATATCCATTTAAAACAAGAAAGATGCTACCACTTTTTTCAAATGATGTGGCAACATTGTAACGCTGAAAATATTTTAGATAGATGGAGCAGGTGCCTTTATGTAAAAATCCAAATTTTTATAAAAAATTTATCAACCCTATAACTTTTTTATTTTTTCAGATAAAAAAATGAGATTTGGTATGTTAGTATATGATATAAATTAGGATTGATTGATGATTGATGTATTCAATTGTTTTTGGTCCCTTTCTGTTTCACCGGAAATTACTACAACTTTTGATTTTTGAATGGTACCCTCGATATATTTCTACTTTATTCGATAGAAAATGACACTCTGAATAGAATGATATATCTGAACTTTTGACATTATCGCTTAAAAAGAAATCTTATTTTAAATATCAATCTGGGGTACTATGGCTGTGTTAGAAACACTAATTTTTAATCAAGGAGCCTTGGAAAAATAGTTTTGATCGTCTAATGTTTTTCGTATCTTGTCCTAGCCGGTTAAAATATGCCCAAATAGTATTTTTAATCAAATCTCAATTTTTTCAAATGGAACAAGGGTGGCTCATTAGTTATGAACCGCATGTTACAATTTCAAATAAACCATAAGCGGAAATGTCAAAAGTTGACATATTATATGTCATACTATTCAGAGTGGCATTTTCTATCAAATAATGTAGAAATAGGTATACCAAGTGTGTCATCGAAAAATCCAAAATTGTAGCCATTTCCGGTGAAACAGGAAGTGATTGAAAACAATTGAATCTGTTAATCAATCCTAATTTATGTCATATACTAACATACCAAATCTCGTTTTTTTATCTGAAAAAAATAAAAAAGTTATAGGGGTGAGCCACTTTTCAGACGCAGAAAAACTAAAGGATATCTGCACACTTATATCACTTTGGAGTTAGATGATTCCTCCAAGATGATCATTAAAAGTGACAAATGTAAACGAGCCTTAAGAAAAAACATTAAAGAAAATTTTAATTTTCTCTGCAATTAACTAGATCAAAGAAAACGTCAAAATCGTTTTTCGTTTGTTCTTTGTTTACCGAACAAAACTTCCAGACTCAATCTATCTCCTTCTCTTTAGCATCGATACTGTAAAAGATCTGAAAAAAAATACAAAAAATTATAAACCCGTATTTTCCATAACGCCAATCCATTTTAATCGACAAAGAACTGCTCTCTCTTTATTTTCGAGCAACAATTTAAAGCTTCCAAAAAAAACTTTGAAAAGAAAATCGGATCTGGCGTTTTTTTCTTTATTTTTATCCTTCTGGAATATGGTTTATCCTCGTCCTTTGTATCCAGGTTTCGGCTTATCTGACGGAGTGTTTTATTCTGGCAAACTTCCTAAAGTTTCGTTGTTTTTTGTATAAGGAGTTTTATAGGGAATGGGTGTATAGGAAATTCTCCAGACATGGATGGGCTTGACAAAAAATTAGAATATTTTTTTATTTCTGTTAAAAAAATAGTAAAAAAATATTTTTTCTACGACTAGCCTAGAAAATGCAGTTTGAGACACGGAAAACTCGATCTGAAATTGGCGTTTTGCAAACTGTTGTGTGCTAAGGATTTAGCGCACGACATGTGTCATTTTGCACACGACATGTACCAATTTTAACATTTTTAACCTCCAATGTTTAGCTGAAACGCCAAACGCAACGCAGACGTCAGAAAAGTGTCATCATTACATCGCAAATTATTTCACAAAACTGGCAAAAACTGAGTGAGTCTGCTGCTAATTTGTAGACGTAGAAAAAATAGCGTAAAAAACTCGTTCGAAAACTTCTTTGTACACTTGTTCGACTTGTGGCTCTTGCCTGCGGCTCGATCAAACTATCGAACTCGTGTGCAAAACGTCGTTTTCGAAACTCGTTGTTTAATATACTATTGTCAAACCTCCATTATCATGATTGTATGTCAAAAATTGTCATTGTAATCCCACTGACAAGTCTTATTTCTAGATATTTACTAAATTCTAGGAATCAATAAATAAACCTCAATTTTAAAGCAGATATGAATTATTTGATTGATAATTATCTAAAATAATCATCAATTTTTATATTCATAATCTAATTGTCATTTTTTCTCTTGTTTTATTCATTTATACATTTATATTCGTCTTGTTTTCGTCTGTTAATTGCGATCTGCTTTTGTTCCAGCCCCGGCTATCGAGATTACAACGCCTACTGGATCGGGGCCACGGACGGAGCGCACGAAGGGGATTTTCGGTGGTCGGACGGACTGCCATTTTCATTTACAAGTAAGTTGACTTTAGATATTAGATCGTAGATTGTTTGGGAGAGGGGAAGTTAATCACCGCGACCTTATAGATCTATTTTGTCTCCCTTTCTTGAGTATCATAATACTCATCATACTCATCTCAGGTATTTGACAAAAGCCAGTATCTGAGGTTTTACAGAGGTAACTTCTCAATCTTCGATATCAGTCGTACCAAAGTTTATGGCACGAATGGTTGTTGTTTCGGCGCACTCGGTAATTAGGTGTTCAGGTGTTTTTCCATTTTCCTACAGTTACAGTATCCTACATTTACCTTCTCGGTCTTAAGTTCTGAGAAATTTCTTTGAGTGTCTTAGACCGAGGGAGGATTCCCATCCCAGGTTACGGATGCAGTGTTCCAGGTTCTTCAGTTCCACTTTAAGTGGGTTTTCACAGAGTCAACGCAGAACGGTTCTGGTCCAGTTAGTGGGGGGAAATAGCAACGCTCTGGAGTGAGCCAAGTATTGGATGTCCTGCATATAATAGCTACGTGCATGAATGTTCCTTTGTACAAGTTTCGTTTCTATTTATATTTATTTATTTTTTTAAATGTCTCATGTACCCTTTTATGTTTGTATTTTACATTTCTATACTTTGTGTATTTCTTGGATTTATTTTATACTGAGTTGGTAACGAGTAAGTAAAGTTAGTGGAGTGTTCGTTACTTTTCTAGCTAGATCGTTTGCTTTTTCATTACCTCCTATCCCTTGGTGGGCTGACATCCAGAGTAGGAGCACTTTGTTGTTAACGGGGTTACTTTGACGACGAATTATTATTTCATTTCGTTTTTTAATTTATTCAGAATTGTATTTTCTGATTTTTTGAATTTAAGAAAGGCTTTAATTTTATTTAATATTTTAGTACAGTGTGGTCACATATATTTTAGCCAATAGCCAATCTTTATTCCGGTTTTTTTTTCAAAAATGGCTTACCTCTATAACTTTTTTATTTTTTCGTGCAAAAAAACGAGATTTGATGTGTTAGTATTTGATATAAATCAGGATTGATTGACGTATTCAGTTATTTTCGGAACTTCCTGTTTCACCGGAAATGACTACAACTTTTGATTTTTAAATGGTATCCGCTAGTTTTTACTTTATTTGATAGAAAATGACATTCTTAGTAGAATGACTATTATATCTCGTGTCAACTTTTTCTCGCTTAAAAAATAAAATTTAAATTTCATTAATGAGTGAAATGGCATTGTTTATAACGACTATATGACCCGAAATACCAAATATGTGGTACCAAATTATTCGTAAAAAATAACTTTTTCCAAGTATGCTAATGAGCCACTCTCGGTGAAAAATTCTCGCAATTCTTTTTGAAAAAATTGAGATACCATTAAAAATATACTATTGAAACATCTTTTAACTGGCCAGGAAACGTCACGATAAACATTAGATTATCAAATATATTTTTCCAAGGTTACTTGATTAAAAATTAATGGTTTTAACACAGCCATGGCGCTCTAGATTAAGATTTAAAATACTATTTTTAAGTGAAAATATCAAGTATACTATAATACGTCAATACTAATTTATGTCATATACATACATACTAAATTTTTGTTGTTTCTATCTAAAAAATAAAAAAGTTATAGGGGTAAGCCACTTTTCAAACGATCGCCCAGTATATTTTAACACATTTATCTATTTAATCCGTCCAGTTCCCCCAATGACCAAAATTCAAATAAACGAAACAAACCCTCTTCCAGTTGTCCTGTTCCTGTTTCCCTGTTCCTGTTTTAAGGGTTAAGAGCAGGTTATAGCCTGTTGTTTCCAGTCTGGATAACGGAGGGTCGTTGTTCCAGATAAAACCTTGGAATTAGCTTCCGGTAAAATTTCAGTTAAAAGGATGAAACAGAGTAGGGTGATTTTAAACAAAAATAAAAGAAAAAAAAACAGGAAAAGTAGAATTTTAAAAAGTGCATTTCATGGTACACTTTTTCTGACAAAATTCAGATATAATCATATATGTACCTATGTGTGCCAAATACATGTCACAATTTTTGTTGTACAACTTATGGTACAGCTGTGATTATGACAGAATTAAGTCCTCTACAACTTTCCGATTTTAATATGTCTTTATATCAGAATTTTTGGCACTTTAATATTGGCAAAATAAAAGCCCTAATTCACCAAAATACACCAAAAGACTTTACTTTTGCACTGATGCAGTGCAAAAGTAAAGTCTTTTAATAAAAATGATTCAGTTTTTAATAAAAATGATTCAATAAAAGTGATTGTTTTTGTTAGGATACTTCTTAGAGCAGTCCTAGACTTAAAAACAGTTTTAAGCAATATAAAATTAAAACTGTATTTAAGTCTGGGACTACCCTAAGAAGTATCCTAACAAAAAAAACCTGAATCATTAAACCAAGAGAAAGAGTGCATCTACCAGGTATCTTGCGAGTGCGGTGAGTCGTATGTTGGAGAGACAAAACGTCCTCTACATGTACGACTTGACGAAAATAAAAAAAAACATACGCAAAGAGGTGAAACAAGGAAGTCTGGCATTCAAGATCATCTTTAGTCCAAGCACCACAACATGTGGTCAACAACATGGTCAACAACATGGTCGGAAGCCCGGATTGTCCACAAAGAACCCCATTGGAAAAAGCGCAAATTTAAAGAAGCCGTATTCATTTCTAACTTAAAAACTCAGCAATCCTTGAAGTTTTTAAAACTTTTTTTTGTTTTTGATGGCATCTTGGTGGACATCCCAACGAGCAACTTTGCTCCAATTTAACCATCTTCTTATCTATTATGGTTTCCGAGATCGTACGAATTTCTAGCACCCTGTAGAGGTAAATTGTGTTCAATTAACTTATTTTGATTCTAAATTACCGTAGTAGTTCTTTATTAAACCTATAATCTATTTCAATTTATTGAATAAACTTAATGTAAATAAAATAAACTTATCTACTACTAACATAATAAACATTATTTAGATTTGGCAAGTGGGATTGAAGGTTGAAGGATACCTACCGTTTATTTTCGTAATTATGTAAAAATATGTCCAACTCGACTAAATTTAACCCGAAAAAATCGATCTATTTCTGGCCGCTAGAGTGTAAAAATACAATCCTGTAATTTGTTGACTTTTATAAGATTCGAGAGTGACTCAATCGTCGAATTAAATCAAATATTTCTACCATTTTTCACCTATTAATTTCTAAAATAGGTTGGCACTGCACCAAAACAATTTTCATCTATATTTAGCATTTTGAAAATAAAACACGGGAATGATATATATGTATTGTGAAACTTATGCTAAGTTGTTTGATATCGTTGCCTTTTATTACCATTTAGAAGTAAAAGAATAACATTATTAAAAAAGGCAACATTTCTTTGAAAAATTTTCTGTTAAGAGGTAAAGTCAGGAAAGATTTCTACAGACAATGTCCAAATAATGACAGAGAATACCATTTACTTGTCAATCAAAATGACAACTTTCACTCTCATGTATTCTGCCGCTGGACAGACTATACCGGGTGTTTCTCAAAAGTGGCTCACCCCTATCACTTTTTGATTTTTTAGTCAGTTAGATAAACGAGATTTGGTACGTTAGGATATGACATAAATCAGCACTGATTAAAGTATTCAATTGTTTTCGGTGACTTCCTTTTTCACCGGAAATAACTACAACTTTTGATTTTTTAATGGCACCCTCGCATTTTTTTTCTTTATTCGATAGAAAATGACACTCTGAATAAAATGACATATCATATGACAAATTTTGACATTGATTTTTAATCAAGGAGCCTTAGAAAAATAGATTTGATCGTCTAATGTTTTTTGTGTCTTGTTCTGGCCGGTTAAAAGATGCCCAAATCGTATTTTTAATCATAATTAATTGTGCGTCTCTTTTTAACAGAGTTATTCAAATCTCATCAAAATGATGGTCGAATTTGGAACATTCTGTATACTTATAAGGGGTGTCTCAAAAAAGTCTGAAGTTAATAAGGGATATATACTTTCTTAAATGTAACACTCTGTATATTGCTGCATTTACAGCATCCTTTTTGATCACTTTACATAATCTTAGGTTCTTGTTAAGTTTGTTTTGATAACTCCAGAGAAATAAATATATTTTGCAACCTTTTTTTAATAATTCTTCAAAAATACAAATCTATTGCTCTGAAATCAAAATAAATTCCATTAATAGATTGGTAATTACTCAACCGTAAGAGCAAATAGTACAAGTACAATAGTACAATTTTACCACAAAACTGTAAAAAAAATCAAATATTTCGAAATACCAAATAAAGTCTTCTTGTCACTCTAAAGCTTTATTCACACTCTCGAAATTAGTATAATAAATTAGTGGTTTCAATTAGCGTAGAAGTTTGTTTCTCTAATTTCAATGTAAGCATTCAGAACGTAGAATCTAGAATGTTTAGGAGGAAGGTTAATCACCGCCACCTTACAAATCTATTGTGTGTTCCCCTTTCTTGAGTTATAACGGTTATAACTCATCATGCACTTTCAAAGCTTTGAGAAAAGCCAGTATCTGAGACGGCTCCACCGAGGCCACCTCTCCATCTTCGACATCAGCCATACCAAAGTGGATAACACGAACGGTTGTCGTCTCGGTGCACTCAGTGATAAGATGTTCTGGTGTTTCCCCGTTTTCTCCACAGAATCTGCATTCACCGTTTTTTCTCAGCTTCAATCTACCGAGCTGTTTGTTGAGGAGACAATGTCTTGTTAGAAACCCCGTGACAATCCAAAGTTTTTACTTAAATCAAGAAAAGACTTATGAAGAAATTTTTCGAGTGTCTTAGACCGTTAGATGATTCCCATCCAGGGCCCGAATTCTGTAACTTTGACATAAAAACGTTACGCTTTCAAAGCGGTGAGCGAAAGTATGCGATTAGCGGAACGCAAAGCAGTTGATTTTGGTATTCTCGTTGCCGTGCGAATCGTTTTCTGGATAAGCGTTGAGCACATATTGACAGTATCGCAATTTCGCAGGTAT